GATCATGCGAGGGAAAAGGACATTCCAACTATCATTGCACCAACCATTCATAATTAGGGGAATGGATGTTCAAAATTAGATTAGGGGAATGGATATTCAAAAAAATCAGCAAGAGCATATGCAATTCAGACCATAAGATGGTTCACGCACAGATGGTCCCTGGCTGACAATTTAATGACTCCATGATAGCAGAAAGCATATCTACACAACAGCTCCACTTTTACTTTCAGCAGACCATGCAATAAAATTAATGAGATAGCCAACCCCTTATTTTGTGTTGATGACTTGTATGTATGTATGTATGTATGTATGTATGTATGTATGTATGTATTTTGGAGGCAGGGTCTGCCTATGTAGTCCAGAGTGGCCTTGATCTGACAATGCTTCTCCTACCTCTGCCTCCTGAGTGCTGGGATTACAGAAGTGTGCCACCTCACTCAACTTGTTGGATAATTTCCCCATATGGTAAAGCCAATGTACATGTTCTGGGTTTGTTGAAGTTGGGCACCACTTAGCTACTGTTTGGAAAATTACATATGTTGGCTGCATTTCGACTTAAGTATTATTCAACTGTGATGAGTTTATAAGTGGGCAAAGCCGTGTCATTAAGCTGAAGAACAACTACATTTTATATTGCCACGGGGTTACTTTTCATTTCCACTTCTGAACAAGTTATGAGCAAGGACTGAGGTTGCATGGGCCATAACTGGGCCAGGCTAAAGACGGTCTACTCCAGTCTGGTGATTTTCCTCTCATACTTGATACTATTTTCAAAACTTTACGATATCAGCCTCCTAAGTCTAACAAATATTTTCTCATAAAGATTTCACAGGTTACGCTGTGAATATTTTAACCTCAAATGCTTCACTACAAACAGTTATGCCGTATGATTATTATGGCCAGAGCAGGTCATTTCAGAGCACATATTACTAAACTTGAATGGATCTCTAAGAGGCTGGACAACTAGGGATGGCTTAGATGCTGATTGTGTCCACCCCTCAAGTCTATCTACTGGGGGATTAAGAGAATGGTGTCCCCTCCTTTCAGAAATTGAGCATTAGGCCCCATTTTCTGGACTAATAGCATCTGCACTGATTGGTCAAGACAGACTCCAAAACATCCCTTCATCTTAGCAACATCAGAAGTGGGTACTAAGAAAAGCAGGGCAAAATGGAACTCAGGCCGAAGGATTTTGCTTTAGAGTGAATTTTTATGCACCTTCCGATTTCATACGTTGGAACCAAATCCCTTTGTGATGACATCTGAGAGGTAAGGCTGTGTGTGTGGGCGTGATTATAGCTTAAGGATGGGGCAAAGAGGCTTCCAAGAACAACTTTGTCATATGAGAAAAAAAAAAAAAAAAAAAAAAAAAAAAAGCCTGTCTGTGAAGCAGGATGTGAGCCTTCACTAAACACTGAGACTTGCAAGGCTTTTATCCCAGATTCCACAGCCTCTGGCTTGTGAGAAATGTGTTTCTGTTGTTTCTAAGCCAGCTACTTGATGGCATTTTGTTTTAACAACCCAGATAGACCAAGACATGTCTGAAGGAGCAAGAGTGGAATTCCTCAAACAGGACCTAAATGAGGACTGGATGACACAAAGGAACCCTGTGCAAATTATTTTGCTTAATCCTCTGAGGTTTTCTATTCCCATAATTGATGATTAGCAATCAATGACATGACGGGTGGAAACTGTCCAGAGCCACATTCATCTTATCCCTACTGTCCCAGGATAACTCCAGCCATTCCTCTCCTTCCTTAAAGTTGAGCTGCATGCTCAACTTTTCTTGGTAAAGAAACTACATTATTTAAAAATTGAAAAGAAATTAGCTTTTTATTATCCATTGCCTCCAGTAGGAAGTGGATTTCAGTGGGGGATGTGGAGGGGCAGAGCTGCTAAGAGTGGAGGCAGAGGACACAAATGCCTCAAATGCCTCATACCCTACTGTCGGAGGCACAGGAGGGCAGGAAAAAAAAAAAAAAAAAAAAAAAAAAAAAAAAAAAAAAAAAAAGCACTGTTTACTGCTGACTCAGCATTCTTTGGGTCACACCCATTCAACATCTGCTCTGTGCCAGCCACTAGGTTGAGCTCAGCAATGAGGTGACTAAGGTAAGTGCAGTGACTTCCAGAACTCAATCTAGAGAGGAAGCTAGAGATCTGAAAAAAATAAAACAACAATACCATGAAAGTCATACTGCAAGCCTCTGCATACTGCTGTACCAGCACTGGGGGTTGACAACCTGGGAGGATTAGAAGACACTTCCCAGAAGTGTCTCTTGTGCTGGCATGTCAAGGGATGAGGGGGAATTCTTTTGGTAGAGACAGGAAGAGCTGTCTAAACAGAGTAAATTTCCAAAGGGGTGTAGGTCAGAGAGATGGTGGTGTGAGCTGACAGAGAGGGTAGTGATCTGGTGGAGTGGGGGTGGAGAGATGGGAGGGATGGGCGGTAGTAGCCACAGGGAGCTGGTGTCACAGAGTCAGGCAGGGATCTGAATTGGCCAACAAGACTGGCTGCATTCTCTCCATGGAAGGCAGCTCAAAGCTTTAGGTAGAAGTGACAAGGTCTATGCTAAGATCACTTTTATGGCTTTGGGTGACACAGAAAGCCACACAGGTGGCAGAGAGGTCAGCTGTTTAAAAAAACTTGCCTGGGAATGACCTTTGTATTGTAAAGGCCTTTGGTGACCCTCCTGTCTAGTGATACATTTCATGAGTCTAGAAAGCTTAGGAGACCTCCACCACAAAGCTATCCAGTTAGGAAACAGCAGAGCAGGGACTGGAGTCAAGCATCTACTTTTTCCCAGAGAACCAGAAGAAAAAAGTCGAGCTCCACTACTGGAAGCTTCAAGAACATTCTACTACAAACCCCTGAAAGAGACATTAGAAATCAGGGTTACACCTCCTGTCCCGGTTCTTGGAAAGAGGCTGTGATGGTTACTCTGTCAACTTGATGGGATTCAGAGTCACATGGAGACAAACCAATGGATGCATCTGGGAGGGACTTTGTAGATTAGGTTGGCTGAGATAGGAAGATCTTCTTTTATTGATGGACAAAATAAAATGGAGAAAGTGACCAGAGCACCAGCAATCACCCCTCTCTGCTCCCTGACTGTGGATATCATGTGATCAACCATTACAAGCTCCCGTTCCTTTGACTTCCTCACCATGATGACTTCCACACCAGAACTGATAGTTAAGTTAAAACCCTTGCTCCATCCAGTTGCTTTTGTTGGGATGTTTTGACATAACAACAATATAATCAATTAATTAAAATGGAGGTGAAGGTATTAGGGAGAGAGGGGATACTGTAAGCCTTTGGCTGCACTGGGCTGCCTCCACAGCCCCTTAAAACAACCAACCAAGCAAAACACAAATTGGGTAGAAGATAAAGTACTTATTTTATGCTAGTCTGGGATTCCTGCTCTCACATTTGCCTTGTAACTTGTAACAGTGTAACTAGTAATTTGTAACTAGTAACAGTGACGTTGTAGAGTTGGAGCCTACAACACTCCGCCGGGAGTACAGAGCTACTTTGTAAGTCAACCACAGGAATCAAATCTCACCAGGGATGGCACAGCAGTAGAGGTGCTTGTGGCCAAGCTAGGTGTCCTGAGTTCACTCTCTTGGAAACCACACAGTCGGAGGATAAAAGTGATTCTCACAAGTTACACACACACACACACACACACACACACACACACACACACACAGTAAAAAAAAAAAATGAAGTGCTTGATAACCCCCTCTCCCCAACTATCTACATTGCTGAGGCACATAGGAAAGAACTTTATGAGCAGCATGGATCAGCCTGTTCAGAGAGTTGAAGGCACTACTGGAATTTTACTATCTTGAAGGAAATCCTGGCAGGAAAACATTTCTCTCCACAGACCCCAAAGTATCTTGGGACTTGGGGTGGCCCCCAAGTTACTTTTTTAATGATAAAGCTAGTGGGAACCTTAGCAGATTGAATGGCAGGCCAGGGTGACCTAGGCGGGAAACAAACATGCCAGGCAGACAGAGCTTCATGAGAAGTTTTAATAGAGAGGGAAAGAGGGTGGAAAGGAAAGAGAAAAGAGGTAAAGAGACATAGAGACAGAGAGGACAGAAGAGAAGAGGGAGACAGAAAAAGTCCTGTCTGCCCCAGGAGAACAGCAGGAAAGAGAGAGGGAAAGAGAGCATAAGTGGGCAGGGGTCTGTCTTTTAAAGGCGTCCTTTGTACCTGAGTGCAGACTACGAAACCATGGAAACCTCTGCTGACCAGGGTACTGCCTGAGTGCATTCTGCCAGGCGACAAGGGCAGGCTAGCATAAATGCCTGAATCCTTACAACTTTGATCTGGGACTTACTTCTATGCCCAGTATCTTGTTTCTGGAATTTGAGGCAAGGAAGAGAATTTCATTCTGCTTTTCATATAACTTTGATTTTTAAGGATAGCATGGGTCTCCTGAGCCCTCCCACTATTTCAACCCAGGAGGATCGGCTACAGGGAGAATTCATTTTCAATGTAGAAACAGGTTTTTTGACACCTGCATGGTCCCCAAGGGTCCCGAGCCTTCCTGTTTGAGTGTGAAGTTGTGGCATGTCATCTGGGATCTCAGCTACTATGGGGAGAGGCTTCCTCTGGTAATGTGACTGACGGTGAGACCTGCAGGAGCTCGGCTGAGCTGCAGGCCAAGGAAGGAGTATGTGCACTTTTCAGAATGGCTCTTGTGTTATGTCCACTGACCCACTGTTAGAAGTGCAGTATACTGAGTGCAGTTGGATGCAGATGGGAGAAAACTTAGCCGCAACAATAAATTCCTGGAGGTTGAGTGTGCTGTCACACGCAGAGTCAGGATGTGTGATCCAGAAGGTGTGTGTGTGTGTGGGGGGGGGTTAATACCATATGTCGTTTGCCTGTGGAGGGGCTCCTCTCATGTCACAGCAACGTGTTCCTCCCAAACAGCCCTGACACCAATCCTGATACCACTACCCTCCTGCCAGACCCATATGACTCTTACCAGGTACTGAAGTCGCTGGCGCTCCGTCTCAGGGGTGAATTCCGAAGACATGGGGATGATTTCTCCATTTCTGATGATTATGGCCCTGGAATGGGAAAAATACATCAGTAGATGACAAACTCATAAAGCCTCTGTGATAATCAGGGACAGACTGTGCAAGATGTCCTCTCCTCCCCCCTACCTGCCCAGTGGGTGGATGCCTTGCCATGTTGGGGGCATCTCTGTTCCAAGGTACTAAGTTCTATAGCTAGTGAAGAATGACGTTTCTTTCTTTTGCTGCTGCCTGGACCTACTGCCTTAATGCCCTGGCAACAAGCATCCAACTCTACATATAGTAAATGTTCAAGGATTAAATGAATGAATGAATAGGCAAATGAATGTCACAACGGTTTTCACTCTGGCCCAGTTTGTCCAGTTGAAGCTTGTGTGAACACAGTAATGTTCTTTGCATAGCTCAACATGGCTGCCACCAGCCCCACATGCATACGGAGCATTTGATCTGTGGCTAACCTGCAGCCCGGGAACCACATTTATAATGCCTTTTAACCTAAACAAGTCTGATGTGGCTGGCATCTAACGTACTGGGCAGTGCAAAGCTAGACTCTTGGGAAATCCAGGGATCACTGGCCTCCTTGGGAGCATGGAGGAAACGCAGAGTCCAGGTTCTACTCTAGGCTTCTTACCAGAACTGTCATTGGAATTAATTCCCAAGCTGTTCACAAGCATGTTAGGAGCTAGACACTTCTAGCCTAGACTAGAGTTTCTAGGTTTATACCCCAGGGTCTAGAAAATGCCACTCTTACCACCTCAAGGCTCATAATAGTCATACATTCCAGAAAGTCTGCCCTAGCACATCGCCGTCATTGAGCCACATCCCCTCCCTTTTCTGGCATTTCCATTGTCTCCCACCATCTGGCTCCTGCCGCTATTTCTAGCTTTCACCTCACTCTTTCTGTTCCTCTTCTACCGCCCCATGGCCCACCTACTTCTCTCTAAGACAACTAAGAATACTTCCCACTGTCCCTCTGGGCTACATTCAGTGCCCTTTTCTGTGACCCCCCACAAGGTTCCATGCCTAGCCATACCACAGCCCTTACCAGCAACTGTTGGTATCAGCGATGTTTCTAGCTACACTAAGGATGTTTTCCTGGCAGAGCTTGGTCACTTTCTCTGAGTCCTATTGCCCAGTGCATGGCATGTGACAGATGATAGGTACAATTGTCTGGCAAGGGATAAGTGACTATGTAACCAGATGGTGATGTGGATTTGGGTGGATGTACTCAGACATAAAGTTCTAACCAATGTTTTGCTTTGGAAGAGCACTGTAATTGTGTATAGGCTAGCAGTAATGTGACCCAGCAGGTAGAGATGCTTGCTTCCAACCTTGATAATCCAAACTTGAATCCCGGGGCTGACCCTAGAAAGTTGTCTTTTGACCTTTTCCTCTGTGCTATGGCATGTATAGGTATGTGCACGCACGCGCACGCGCGCGCGCACGCCCACACGCGCACACACACACACACACACTAAAAATCAAAGTGTATAAAATCTGTACATCTTCTCAATGGTCTTACAAGAAGATGACAGGCCCACAAGGATGTCATCACTGAGAAAAGACTTGAAGGACAGGCATGTAGGAGAGACTGTGGCCAGCCTACCCCAGCCTCAATCACCTTGGCCCAGGTGCCCAGGCCAGCCCGTATGAGCATGCACTACAGGCACTTCCACCCTGAACCAAGCCTGCCTCAATGCACAGGGACCACTGATGAAGAGACACCTGACCCAGAGACACCAATGAGGAAAGGACATGTGATAGAGTCAGCCGCCTGAGCCAATAGGACCTTAGGAGGGGGGATAAAGGCAGGCCTAACTTCCTTAGTAAATGAGTCTGCAGTATGCTCTGCTCTTCACTGACTCCCGGTGCCTGAGTCATTGGTGCTGCATCTTCTCACCCCCTCCCCCAAGGGGTATCTGAGCAAGGTCACCAGCAACAAAGGGGGAGTGAGGTAGGGCTATCTTCTCATGGGTCAGAAAGTTGCAATGGCAGAAACTGTTCTTTATGTGTACATTTGCAAATTTCAAACTCCACACGAGTATCGGCATTCATCCCAATGCAACTATGGTAAGCCTTGCCTATTACTTCCTTGAGTAGGCAATTATATCCAAATTCTACTACGTACTCAGGTGCCTGCACCTGTACACACACACACACACACACACACACACACACACACACACACACACACACGTCTTCACTTCTGTTTGAACTACCACATTCTTCCTTTATGAGGCACCCACAGATTAAATTGTTTGACTGCCAACCATCCAGTTTCCCACATTGTGGTGCCCCCTCCTGTGTAATGCATGGTTTCTCTTTGATCTCGTTCTCTTCCATCCCTCTGATTTTGGGATTAATATGCCAGAGTGCTGTCTCCAGAGGTTTGGGACAACACAAGGGAAGGGGTCTCAAGGGGGACAGAGTGGATGTGAAGCTCTGCAAATTTCATCCTCAACCATCGACAAAGCAGAGGATGCCTGGATTAAAGCAACATTCTCACATCACAGGCCTTGAAATTTTGTATCTTCTTCATTATATTACAGGATGTGTTCCTTAAGGAAAAGGCAAAAAATCAAAATGGAACAAAAGCTGAGGCAGCAATGATGGCCAAAAGGACTGGGTCTCTTATGTTCCCTCTAGAGCCTCAGGCCTGGACCCGTGGCTATTGCTCTGGGCAGATTTTAGGTGATATTCCATTTACCTTTTCTACTTAGCAGAAATAAGTGAGAAATTTCTAGAGATCTCTATTCCCTCTCTAGAGGGAACAGTCCTTAAACATTTTCTCAGATGTGGAGGTCATCTTTGCATTGGCAGACACAGCTGAGGTCTGTTTTCACTGCAGAGTAGACGGGTTGTTGTTTATGGCACGCTGAATGACCAGGCTTGATATTAAGTTCTTATGAGTCAACTGGATAGTTTTCTTAGATACCTTCCCCGGCCCCAAATACTAGCCACATGAAAGGATAAAGGTGTTTTACTCCACGGGGAATTAGAGAACAGGTTCTGGAAAATCCCACATCTTCCATCTTCTAAGGTAATTGTTCAGAATGAAAAACACGTATCTTTTACTACTCTTTCCAGTGAAAAACATCTAGCTAGTCCAAAGGGAACAAGAAAGGGATCTGGGACATTCATTTCAAACAGTTATCTGATTTTATGATTTCTCGTAGGGACATCACAGTCAGTGCTGTTCAATCTCCCATCAGTGGGACTGTGATGTCTGTCCTAGAACCTCTCTCTCTCTCTCACACACACACACACACACACACACACACACACACACACATGCACACATAGTCTGATTCCAAGCTAAAGCCTCATGTGTGACTCTTCAGGACAAGCCACAAGCAACTGTGGAGGCTTGGCCTTAGAAGGCTTTTGTTGCCCCAGTGTTGGTGCCCAAGTTGGTGCACAGTGTTCTCTGAGTACTGGTAAAGGGCCTGCTCTTCACTTTGAGCTTTTGGATTTGGAATACTTCTCTGTACCAATTCAGACCTTTGCCACTCCCAGTCCATTGGCTTCCATCTTTAACCCCTGCAGAAAGCCTTTAGTTCTGCACCCCTGGCCTCTGAGTATCCCTTCAGCTAGTGATCAGCACTCTGTGTACCAGCCGGCAGACCCTTGGCTGGTGCCAGGCTGGACATCAGCCAGTGGAAGACTGTGAGGATGGCTAAGTTCTGTTCTTTCTTCTCACCTGAAGGACTTTATTTAATGAATAAAGTCTTGATAATGACAGTGGCCTCTGGCAGCGTGACAGCATATAATTCTGCTTGAGTGAGCAAGAGAAAGGTATGGATATGAGCCAGTTGGCTAACTGTCCTTTATATATTGGACTATAACAGGGAATGTGTTCCTTTGTAAATTTAGAGAGGAAGGTCTCTGCTCAGACTTGATGGCATGTTACCAAAGTCCATCTTCATATTTACTCAACTTTCAAAACTATCAGTCTCTGGGACCTGGGTGCTGCAAGCACCAGTCCACAGGTTCTGTCCAGTTGTTCAACTACCCATCTCAAATTACTTGGCATTTAGGCACAAATGACTGTCTTTGTCAAGAGGCATCAATTGAGAAGCCTGAAGGCAAATTTTGTTATAAAAATATGAACTGGTCAAACCTGGGAATGTCTGTACTCTAGCAGTGTGTTTTAGGAGACCTCCTTAGAGTGGATTCAGAACTGGAAACTGTGCTAAAAAAATGTTCAAAAAGAAGTAGGCAATGGTTTCTAAGAGTTCAGTTCCCACAGAGCAAGAGATGTTAGACAGAGGACAGGGATCAGCTTGGACCTGAAGTTACAATACAAACCAAATTGCTTTGGTTTGTCATACCTGGCTTCCTCCTCTCTGACCCCGGGGGATGCTGGACAGCAAAGATGAATGATGCAGGGCTGAGGTCTGAAGGAATCCTGGTGGGATGGAATTTCACTGCCACTGCGAGTCATGAAGCAATCCTCCAGCCATCCCTCCAGAACCCACCCATGTGTGCACTTAAATGTGTGTCAATATAGCTGTGCTGGAGGAAGGTTCTACCTATGCAGTCCTCCTATCCTCACCTGTTTTCATGGTGGTGGTGGTGGTGGAGGCACTGGGGACTAGACCCAGGGCCTCACAGATGTTAGGCAAAAACTTTTACCTTCGAGCCACACTCCAGCCCATTTTAATTTGATTTAATTTTTATGTGTTTTGAGATAGGGTCCTGCTAAGATGCCCAGGATGGCCTTGAACTTCCTCTATAACCCAAGCTGTCTTTGAACTTGCAATCCTTCTGCCTCAGCCTCCTGAGTAGCTGAGTTCACAGGTTCGTACCACAAGGCCTGGCAGGACTGTACATTCTGGCAATTCACACAGGAAGTTCTAATGCATTTAGATACCAGAGCACCAAATGATAGGTTAGAGATGAAGGCTAACAGTCAGGTCCCTTCCAGCTCAATGAACTCAGGGTTTGGGGGAGAACTCAGGTACCAGTGAGTGACTGGAGGTAACAAGGGTGAGGCTGCATGCTGGAATGGGAACAACCTTGGCCTTGGAGAG